AAGAGATCCCCAACTAAAATACAGTCATCCTAAGCCAACGAGGAAGACACAAAACACTAACAAAGAAGTAGCAAAGAGCAAACTAAGGGCAAATAGAAGCGCAATTAATTTCATTCTATTAAAAATTGTGCCTAGACAAACTAGGCACATTAATTTGTGGTGGAGGGAGTATTTAAAATCTAGAAGGCCCTCATTGGGTGTCCCATGATGTGCACATTAGTATATCTTTTTTAAGAATTAATGTGCAAACATGATGCGGATGATTATTTCACTGCATAACTCGTGACTAATGATGCACCTCCCTCCCTTTTGGATGCCGGATCTTTTTCAGTTATCTTATTGACGTCTCACAAAGTCACAAGATAACCAAAAAGTCCACTCTTAGGACTGGATTGTTTTAATGACATATATTTATTGCTATATCAGGTCAAATTTTCACTGATGTCGTTGGAAGCCCATATTATGTTGCTCCTGAGGTGCTTTTGAAGCATTATGGTCCAGAAGCAGATGTCTGGACAGCAGGCGTCATACTCTACATTTTGCTAAGTGGTGTACCTCCTTTTTGGGCTGGTAGGTATACAACCCCCGCAAGGAAAACATACAACTTTGTTTAATGTGCTAGAAATTCTTGTCATGCCCTCTTTTCTGTGCTGTAGCTATTACATTATGTATACATGATGATTTCTTTGTTTTCCATCCATTGGAACTTACTCATGTCTTCTTCAGAAACACAGCAGGGTATTTTCGATGCTGTGTTGAAAGGACACATTGATTTTGAGTCGGACCCTTGGCCCTTAATATCAGATAGTGCAAAGGATCTAATCAGGAAGATGTTATGCATGCGTCCATCTGAGCGCTTAACTGCTCATGAAGTATTATGTATGTTTTCTATTGTCATTTATTAAATTTGAAAGAATTCACTGAAGCTGCTTGGCATGAAAGTCTATCTATTACACCCTCCGTACCTTATTTATCTCCTAATTTGACTTCACACCAGTTTAAGAAAGTGGAATCTATGTGGTTGAAATTTGTTTAGAGAGAAAAACAATTTTCAACCACATAATGCTTTCCTTGAAGGGAAATATGAAATGGTTTGTGGCGAGCAATAAAAGAAAAGTTGTAGATAAAAAAGGGACAAAGGGAGCATTATAAATGCCAGTGACTGAGTGCTTTTGTTTAAGATGTTACTGATAAACAGACAGCAAGATTTCACAATCATTTCATCAGCATATTTGCTTTAGGGTGCCAGAAAACAGTCTTATGGATGATTGTACTCATTTATGGTTGTGAGCTATTTGCAGCCTTTTTTGGTTATTTTTTGTGAATATGTCTTCAGCACGATAAATGCAGCAGAATAATAGATGAGTGAACTTAATGAACTTTGCAATTTATCAGTTTTAGACTTTTAGTCAACCTTTTCATCCAAGTCCATACATAGCTTCAGTTGGGTTATTAGAGTTTGATGTGAGCTAGGGAGCTTGATGAAATGACTGGATAATACTTGCTATATGTATTGGTTTTTATTTTGAAGTTTACATTAAAAAATTGTTTACTTCTTATCCAGGCCATCCTTGGATTTGTGAAAATGGGGTTGCCCCTGATAGGGCATTAGATCCAGCTGTACTCTCTCGCCTCAAACAGTTTTCAGCAATGAACAAATTGAAGAAGATGGCCTTGCGGGTATTTATCATTTATTTAATTTTTCTTTTCCTCAACCAAGTAATTCATAAGCCTTACCTTATCATTTCTTTGGGTTGGGCAATAAGATTTATGAGTAGCAACATGCAAATATTAAGTTTTTAGTTCATGTTTGTTCCTCTAGGTAATTGCTGAAAGCTTGTCAGAAGAGGAGATTGCTGGGTTAAGAGAGATGTTTAAGGCCATGGATACTGATAATAGTGGTGCAATTACATTTGATGAACTCAAAGCTGGCTTAAGAAAATACGGATCTACTTTAAAGGATACAGAGATTCGAGAACTAATGGATGCGGTAATTATTCTGTTTATCAAGGAATCAATTCAACCACAAGCTCAAGCCTGATCTTGTGGTTGTAGGTCTAGAAAAGGTTTTGTACTCTTACATGCCCGCTCACTTGCAGACATTTTTTTTGCTCGACGTGAACACCAATGTTTTAAATCTGAGCAACGCTGAGGTTCGAACTTGTGACCTCTAGGTCACCAAGGCTTTGATGCAATGATACCATGTCAAGGAATGAATTCAACCACAAGCTGAAGTTTGTGGTTCAGAAAAGATTTTATACTCTTACCATGTTTAAAAAATGTATTTATATCCTAAAAATTTAGTTTTGGGCAGCAAAATCGGGCAATTATGTAAACTCTGCAAAAATGCTAAATTGCACGAGTATATTATTTAGAAATGAACTATAACAGAATAACAATCTATGAGTCTGTTGATCTATCTGGAATCACTGATGAAATCCCTCACACTTTGAACTGTGAACCTGTGAACTTGTGTTAGTGTCTTGAAATTCCCGATCTGTATATATTGCTGAGTATTACTATTATTTTCCGATTGGTATATTTTGAAGTATTACTATTATTTTCAGGCGGATGTGGATAACAGTGGGACCATTGATTATGGAGAATTCATAGCTGCTACTATTCACCTTAACAAACTAGAACGTGAGGAACATCTGATGGCCGCGTTCCAATATTTTGACAAGGATGGGAGTGGATATATTACAGTTGATGAGCTCCAACAAGCTTGTGTCGAACATAATATCACAGATGTTTTCTATGAAGATATTATCAGAGAAGTGGATCAGGACAATGTAAGTCGATGATAAAAAAATTCGTTTGTACCTGTTTTTTTCCACATTATAGGATAGTGTAAACAATACCCATCATAAAAAGGGTAGAGCTAACCGAATGTCCTTTGCTCTGGAGATAATAATATCTCTTTTCCTAGTCTCCATAGGCTCTAGTCAAGGACTAAAAAAAAGTACTCATTTACACTCATGGTTACATGTCATCATCTTCAAAAGATCAGATAATATAGTAAGATGTTACTTATGAGGATACTATAGTTACATTTTTTTGTTGGTGGCCAGTAGTGTTGATGTCGCAGCTTTAGTAGTGTATCCTTTCGCAGATCTTGTAAACTAACATTAGCTTTTTCAAAATATATACTTGATTTAAGATACTCAATCTGTACCAGTGTTTTTGTCCGGCTTCTTTTTGGCACATGGACTAAGAAGATGGGAATAAGGGGAAAAAAGTGTCCTAATTGCCCTTACTTTGGGGAAGTAGTTAAATCGGACATTACATGCTTCATTTCTTTGCTTTAAATGGAAAGTGGATGAATATGCTGAGATGAACCAAAAAGAAATAGTGTGTACAAATACACCGGGATGGAGGCAATTTTTTTTTGTTTGGATGCACATGCATCTTTTTCTGGATGCTCCCTCTCTTTAATTTTTCTCTCACATGCCCGTTGATGGATTTGTACTGTAGGATGGAAGGATTGATTATGGGGAGTTTGTTGCTATGATGACAAAAGGAAATGCAGGCATTGGAAGGCGAACTATGAGAAACAGTCTAAATATAAGCATGAGAGATGTACCAGGAGCTCATTAGCTTTTTTTGTCAGATGCAAGTTTAGAAGTAGTTTTTCTCCGAAGTCGTTTGTTGCTGGAAATCAAACTCTAATATGTTTGGCATATCAGAAAAAGAAAATTCCAGTGGTTGGTTCCAAGTGTGGATGATTTGATTTGGTCGGTCAGCAAGGGGTCTTAATTCGAGAGCATGCAGCATGGAGTTTGTTTTGATATCTGTTGAATGGGATTATGTTTAGGCTGTACAGAAATGAAAGCAGGTGTGATTGACGAGAAGTGCCTGGAATTGGAACGAATGATCTGAGTGAGGGGCAATGCATTTAATACTTGTCTTCATCTGTGTCAGTGGCTGCGTACGTAAAGATATATATTTTGTTGTGGAAAATTGTTATAGGTGGTACATTCTTCAAAGTAGCTGCTATTAGTTCGTTTGTTTCCCAAGTAATTGTTTCTTCATTTGTGACTGAGGCGTGTGCTTAGTTGGAAATGGTGTTGGTTTCATGTGTTTTGAAATGAGAGTATTTTTTACTGCATTATTATTATGTAAAAAAAAACAGTATTTTGAATGAAGTTATTAGATACGCACGAGTACTTGGATCACCGGGATTCGAAAAGGATCTTGAAAAGCTAGCTAGGTAGATGGATGAGGGGTTGTTAGATATATAGTGTACAGCTAGGTCAAGTGAAGTGTTGTTGTACACCAATTGCTTCTAAAGTAAAAGCATGCAGGTAATGTGACATCGATCATGTGCCTACGCGTTGTTAGCTTTTAGGTAGGGTGTTTAATCTGTTTGTGGCAAATAATGATACATATATACATACATACACAGACAGGCAGCAGAGTGCAAATATATACTCTGCTAGTATTTACGGGGTACAAAGTGGTGTCGGTGGAATTAGGGATGATGATGATATACATACATACAGTATAGAAGAAGAAATTATAAAGATATATGGATGAAGAGGCTAGGGGGATTTTAAATGTAATAAATACAGAACGACACATGCTATGGTCCGATCCGCTGCCATTAACGTTGCTTGCTTGCTTTGCAGCTGGCTACGTGGGGCGGCATTGAATATATATAATGAAGATATAACTATATATATATATATATATATATATATATATATATATATATATATATATATATATGTATATGTGTATATATATATATATATATATATATAAGGAGCTGCTAGCTAGTGTCGGTGCAACCCAACTAATCATCCGGCCAGCATTATATCAGGGGCTGACGACGACTGTCTTTGATTATGTAAAAAAAATTGGTTGTTGGTTTGATTTTATGATATGTGTTGAACATAATCCAGCAGCATCAAAATAATTGGGCATTAAACAAAAAAAAAAGAGTAGGAATAGACAAATAAGGGTTGGGATCTTCTCTCCTTCCCCAGCTCCAATGAGTTAGGAGTGAACAAACATTATTTACTCCCAACTTGAGATCGAGACCATTGAAAAGGCCAGCATTTACTCCTAATAACATGGACCAATTATAAAATTACTCTAATAATAATAATAATAATAGATCAGAGTAGTAATATATACGGAGTAGCATCATAAAATTAAAATAAAAGACTGTGGATGGATGAATGGGTCGATCTGTAGTAGGAGAGTACCATCTAGCTAGCGGAAGTTAGTGCGAGGGAGGTCCTGATGATGATGATGATGATGAGTAGATCCTCGTCCTAATAGCCTTTTCCTCAGCTCCGAGTAAAAGAGGTGCATCCACCGCCCCGGCGGCGGCGGCGGCATTGACGATGTCTTCTTCTCCCGCCTGCTTGACACCAACCAGGACCACCCCCGTCTCCACCAGCAGCCTGCCACCGCACTCGCCTTCACATTCCTCAGCGTCGTCTCCGTCGGAGGAGCTCGTAAATGGTTCATCCCCTTTCTTACATAGTAGGAGGAGGCCGCCGAGATTCTTTTGCGGATCCCCATTCTTCCACCACCGCCACCACCGCCACCACCACCACCACCAGGTTGTGTGACAGGCAGCACTGATGATCTATCTTGCTTAACAAACATACTACTGATAATAATAATAATAATAATAATAATAATAATAATAATAATAATAATAATAATAATAATAATAATAATAATAATAATAATAATAATAATAATAATAATAATAATAATAATAATAATATAGAGCTAGATCAGAAAGATAGATAGATAGCAATGCCAGAATCAAGTTATATATGCTAATAAGCTAAGCGTGCTAGATTTTTATTTTTATATTTATAGAACCGGAGAAACAGCCCCAATTTTCTCTCTCCCCTCCTCCTCGTACGAATCAATTTCCAAATTAATGAAGACGGTTATTAATTATGATACAATTCCTATTTTAGTTAATTTCTATATTTGATTAATATTAATTTAGAGTTTCAACTATTAACTCCCCACCTTCTTCTTTAGAGTTTGAACTATTAATTTTTAAGTTTTGTCATAAATTTTAATTCTTTTTAGTTTTTTACAGTTCTTTCAATTTCTTTAGTTTTTTTTTAGTTTTTTTCAGTTTCTTCCAATTTATTCCAATTTCTTCTCGTTTCTTTCAACTAATTTTATTTCTTCAAACTCTTTCTACTTCCTGACTAATTATTCTAAAAACTATATTATTATTATTATTATTACACCAATTATGTGCATAACAACAAAAATAATATTTTGAACTAATTACTAAAATGGTACTCGTTAATTGAAAATAATGTCTAGTTTAGTCCCCAAATTAATAGCTGTCAAAACGGCATTAAAACTTATACTAATGTACTTCCCCATAAAGGTCATCTCTAATTGGATGTTTTTTCAAATAACTCTAGATTTGAAATAAAAAATTATGAAAAATGGTCTCCCGACTTCGCTCAAACATCGTAAACCAATTAAAAGTGAAGACTTTTGCTTTGGTTTTTCATATTTAATGAATTTTCACTTTAAAAATGGATCAATTTGAGAAAATATCCAATAAGAAAGGATAATTTTGAAAAAATAGTACTCCCTCCGTCCCTGAGTATTTATCTATTTTTGACTTTTTTCGGTCAAAATTGATAAATTTTGATTTCAAATTAAATCAAAATGATATTAGATATTGATAAAAAAATAATTTTTTTAGATTTATTATATAAAATATTTTATAAAATGTTTTCAAAATATTATTTTATCTAATTGATATACAATATACTCCCTCTGTTCTAAAACCAACTTCCCGGTTTGACCGGAGGTGGTTTTTAAGAGTTTAAAAATTGAGTTGACTTTCCCAAAATGCCTCCCAAATCTGAACAAAAGTCAGTGGCCTTCTTTCTTGATGTGTTCTTCTTTCAATGCACAGAGGCATGATTCTTGAATCAACATTAGGTTCCAAAACAAAATAAAAAATCAAAATTGCAACAAGATGAAGAATCTGAGGAAAAAACATCTACAAAAAGGAAGAGGAAGAGTCTGACAAGAGAGAGAAGGCAGATTTAGGAGATCTGCTCCATCTTCACTAAATTTGAAACGGAGTGGCAACGAGGACGGTGGAGTGGTGACAACGACGGTGGAGTGGCGCCGTCACAATATTGGAGTGGCGACGGTGGCCGCAGTAGTCTCTCTGTGCGCGGCAACGGTTGCAACCTAAAACACACGGATCCATCTGTTTTAGACGGAGATCTCCTTATGGCTTACCTGCTCAGGGCGGTCTGACGGCAATGGTTGAGCGAAGATGAGATCTATGTTGGAGGAAGAGAAACGATTACATCTAGATATCAAGATAAAAGAGAGAAGAATATTAGATCTAGATTTTGAGGGTGGGAGACGGAAGATGAGAGAAGCCAGGAGGTTGAGATAGTTGAGAGGGGTAAAATAGTCAAGAAATGAGAACAAAGTTTTAGGACGAAGAAAAAAGAGAAGTGGGAAGATGGTTTTAGGACGAAAGAAATATATTTTATTTAACTAAATGTCAATGATAAAAAATGATTGACTGGAAAAAACCAAAACTAGACAAATACTTCATATAAAATTTAACTTCATTTTTACACCATTTTTCTTTTGTAGTAGTAAGTTGCCAACATGGAGAAGGGCTTGTGCGCTCTTATTCTAATTCATTGTGTCGTGAATAACTTATTGGGATACTCAACAACAACACTAGTATCACAAGGGTGATAAAGTAGAGCAAGTTATCCCCTAATTTGAAGCGGGATGAACACTTGCTTTTTACTAATTTAATGTCATGAAAAATATGGATCTCTTTTTGATGATTAAAGCTCATTCAATCATCCCCCTTTCCAGTTTTCACTTGGATGTAATTTTCTACCAATCGATCACACGTACATGGCTAATGCTTGTCACTACAAATTTGGAGTCGAAACAAGTGTGATCGTAATAATGACAATGTACCTCAATCAAATTATGACAATCCGTTACGATTGTTCTGTCAACCTGTTGGAGTTTGTGATTTCCTCCATGATAACGCAGAGAAAGGAAGTTGAGGAAAGAGAAAATTGCATTAACTTGTTCAAGAAGGAAGCATACAAGAGGGAGAAATATAAAGGGGAACGAGCCAGGCTAAAGGCGTTGTAACTAACGTAACAACCGTAACTAACGAAATAGAAAAATATCTGAAAATATCTAAAAATATCTAAGATATTCCAACACCCCCCGCAAGTTGGAGGGTGATTGAACCCCCAACTTGGAAAGAAACTTGTGATGAAGAGCACCGGGCAAACTCTTAGTAAACAGATCAGCGAGTTGGTGTTGAGTAGGAACATGTATAAGAGAGATCAAGCCATCTTGAAGCTTCTCCCGGACAAAATGACAATCCAACTCGATGTGCTTAGTGCGCTCATGATAGACAGGGTTGGTAGCAATGTAGATGGCGGCTTTGCTGTCACATTTGACAGGAATGGGAGTGATGTTTAGAACGTCAAAATCAGCAAACAGACGGCTCAACCAAGCAAGTTCAGCAGTAACCCTACGCATGGATCTGTATTCAGCTTCTGCAGAACTTAAAGAGACAGTGACTTGTTTCTTGGATTTCCAGGAAACTGGACTACCTCCCATGAGGATGAAGTAGCCACTGACTGACCTTCTTGTGTTAGGGCACGCAGCCCAATCCGAGTCACAATAGGCCTCCAAATTGAAAATGGGAGAATCAGTGAAGTGAATCCCTTGAGAAGGGGCTGAGTTAAGATATCTCAAGGTATGCTGGGCAGCTTCCCAATGAGAAACCTGTGGATTTTGCATGAATTGACTAAGGAACTAGACAGCATATGCTATATCAGGTCTGGTGTGAGTAAGAAAGTTTAACTTCCCAACCAGAGTTCTATATAGAGTGGGGTTGGACAAAGGTTGATCGGTGGCAAGTGGAAGTTGTAGGCTGGGTGGCAGTGGACAAGGAGCAGTAACATCTGTAGGGCAATCAAAAGAAGAAAAGAGGTCTAAGGTGAATTTGCGTTGAGTGAGTATCATTCCATGTGATTCATAAGTGGCTTCGAGGCCCAAGAAGTAGCCCAATTGACCAAGATCCTTGATCTTGAAAACAGAATGAAGATGAGATTTTAGAGCAACAATTTCTTCAGTGTTATCTCCTGTGATGAGAATGTCATCAACATAGATGACTAAATGTACAACAGAGGCACCAATGCGTTTAGTAAAGAGGGAGTAGTCATTCTTGGAAGTGACAAAACCTTTGGATCTAAGAACATGACACAATTTGGCATACCACTGTCTTGAAGCCTGTTTGAGCCCATAAAGGGATTTCTTTAGTCTAAGAACCTGTGATGAATGTTGCAACACCATGCCTGGTGGCGGCTTCATGTAAATCTCCTCATTTAAATCACCATGCAAGAATGCATTGTTCACATCTGACTGGAAAACAGACTAGTGGCGTTTGACAGCAACTGCTAATAAGGCTTTGACAGTGGTAATCTTAACAACAAGAGAGAAGGTCTCATGGTAATCAATTCCTTCCTTTTGTGTGCAGCCTCTGATGACTAATCTGGCCTTGTGTCTTTCTAGGGTTCCATCAGATTTAAACTTCAGTTTATAGACCCATTTACAACTTATAGGCTTTTTACCTCTTGGAAGATCACATATTTCCCAAGTCCCAGTGTCTGCAAGGGCCTGAAACTCAGATTGCATTGCCTGCTGCCAAGCTGGATTGTCCTTAGCCTCTTCATAAGTTCTTGGTTCCTGCATATGGGTAAGTGTATGCAAAAGTTTTTGACTATCCTGGACTAAAGCACTCAAGCACATATGTGTGGAAGGAGTGAGGGAAGTGAGAGTATGTGGGCAGGAGTTGGAAGGATCAAAGGCAGTGGATGAAGTGAGATCATTAGAGATATGACACACATAGTCTTGTAGATGAGCAAGTGTTTTATGAATTCTAGAAGACCTTTTGGGAACAAAAATAGATGAAGAACGAACCCCAGAAGATGTGGAATCAGTAGATGTGGGAACTTCTGTGGATGAGGAGTTGTTGAGAGGAGAGGAAGAGGGTGCAAAAGGATCATTAAAAGGAGAAAAATCTGGCATGAGATGTGAAGGGTCATGGTTAGAAGGAAACATAGGATCTTCTGGTGATGGGCTTTGGTAAGGAAATATGGTTTCATGGAAGACCACATCCCTAGAGTCCTCAACCTTATGAGTTGTCAGGTTGTAGACCTTATAGGCCTTTTTCCCATAAGGATAGCCCAGAAAGACTCCTTTGGAAGCCCTTTCTGTAAATTTTGTTCTTCCAACTTTCGGTGTGGATATGTAACAGAGACAACCAAAGGCTCTTAAGTGTGTGTAAGATGGTGGTTTGCCAAAAAAGATTTCATAAGGTGATTTGTTTTGAAGAAGTTTTGTTGGGAATCTGTTGATAAGATATGTGGCAGTGAGGACACATTCTCCCCAAAACTTTTGAGGTATGTTAGATTGGATGGACAAAGCTCTGGATGTCTCAAGCAAGTGTTTATGTTTTCTCTCAACAACTCCATTTTGTTGTGGAGTGTGTCTCACATTGTCAGACCTGATTGTTTTGATATTGACACCAAACTGAGTGTGGATCATGATAACAAAGGATTTGATAAGATCAGAAGCATTGCTTTTGGATGCCAATAGATAAGTCCATGTGACCCTAGAATAATCATCTACAATGGTGAGGAAATAGGAGAATCCATTGTAGGTTTTTGTGTGGTAGGCACCCCATAAGTCTAGATGGATAAGTTCAAATAGATGTGTAGACTGACTGTGGATAGTGGGAAATGGTAATCTTTGCTGTCTAGCCTTAGGACACACATCACAACAAGATAAGGAATCAAGACTTTTATTATCAAAAGAACAAAGATGTTTAAGTTTGTAGCTGGGTAAATGACCCATTCTTACATGCCACAACTTCACATTAGATTGCACATAAACTTTATTACATGAAACATCATGAGAAAGAACAGAAGACTGAACAACAGAATTGTTTGAAGAATGATGATTGTTCTGTGTGATGTATAAGCCACCACGTCTTTTACCAAGCTCCACTGACTTGTTCTTAGAAAGGTCCTGCAGAACACATCTATCTTCTGTAAAACAAGCTGAAACTCCTAGTGGTTTACACAATTTACCCACAGATAGAAGATTGAATTTGAATTTTGGGACAAACAGGACATCCTTGAGTATTATATCACAAGGTAAGTGAATGGTTCCAGTTTGAAAAACTGTGAGTTGATGATCATTAGGCAGAACAATTTTGTGAGGTGAGGGTAAATTTGTGAGTTTAGTGATAAGGCTAAGATTGGCACACATATGGTCTGTTGCTCCAGTGTCTAAAATCCAGGTATAATCATCAAACAAATGCACACTATTACACATATGATGAACCAAGGAATTATTAGGACTAAGGATCATACCAGCCATGTGTGCTGTAAATGCCTGAGATGTGGAGTGAGCTTTATCATCATGGAAGGAGTTCATGAGCTTGATGAACTGATTGTACAACTCAGGGTTAAGCTGTCCACTGGGCTTGGCTTCACTAACATCAGCAGGTTCTTCCTCACTCACAACATTTGCAGCAAATCTCCTAGGTCTTGAAAATTTGAAATCCTTTGGGAAGCCAACAAGTTTATAACACTTGGCTGCAGTGTGACCTTTCTTCTTGCAATACTCACAGAAGATGATCTTCTTATCCTCAAATTTCCCTTTGCTTTCCTCAAATCTCCCTTTGTTTGGATGAGTATTCACATTCAGAGAAGTATGTTCAACTGCAAGATGATGAGGAGCTTGCATTTCTCTCTGTTTTTCTTCTTGTATAACGAGACCATAAGCAACTGGAACAAAGGGAAGAGGTCGCATAATAAGTATGTTCCCTCTGGTGACATTGTAATCTGAGTTGAGGCCCATCAAAAATTGAATTTCTGATTCTACTCATATTTTGTGAGCTCCTGAGCAGCTCCACAGGTACATTTTGGTAGATTGGACACTAGAGCCAGTTCATCCCAGATTCTCTTAAATTTTGTGTAATACAAAGCAACATCTATATTCCCTTGAGTGATTGAGCAGATTTCCTTTTGCAACTGAAACAGCCTTGCACCATTTGATTGTCCAAATATGTCTTCAAGCTCGTTCCACATTTCAGCAACATTTTCTTGCTCAGTGTGTTGAGGATCCATGAGGTTATCATATCATTGCACCTCTACCAACTGTTCGCGCGATTGGATGAATCATCAGGTCTCGTGATGGCCCCTTTCACAAAACCTAACTTATTTTTCGCTGACAGAGCAATAGTCATGGATTTCTTCCATGAACCGAAACCTTCACCTGAGAATTTGATCGAGATCAGGATCAAAGATTTAAAAAGGTATGAAATTTAAAATAAATCTTTTTTTGCTTCACGAATTTTTAATTTTAAAATTAAATCATTATAAGACGTTAGATTTATTTTTGGCAAATAAATTAATAGCCGTTGACGTTTTCCCAACATTTGACGCAAACCTCTTTGTGATAAATAGTCTTTTTTGTGAAGTTTTAAAGGCCTGGATGATCTGAAGGATGAAGATAATAAGGTTCAGAAGGATCGATTGCAGTGGAATTGTTCGCGTTGGACCTCATGAATGAACCAGATCAAGGAACTCAAAAAAAATATATGAATCTGAGACAAAAAAAGAGAACTGTGATTTAGGAAATCAGATGAAGATGATGAACGGATTGATTGAAGAGCTCTGATACCATGTTGGAGTTTGTGATTTCCTCTATGATAACGCAAAGAAAGGAAGTTGAGGAAAGAGAAAATTGCATTAACTTGTTCAAGAAGGAAGCATACAAGAGGGAGAAATATAAAGGGGAACGAGCCAGGCTAAAGGCATTGTAACCAACGTAACAACCGTAACTAACGAAATAGAAAAATATCTGAAAATATCTAAAAATATCTAAGATATTCCAACACAACCAAACAACACAAACTGCTTTTTTTTTCAAGTCCATAAATAGAGATTTCAGGTGTGGTGCCATGCCAGGACCCAGACTGCCTTTATTTTTCCTTCCATTTTTTTAACGCAATAATCTGCATCTTTCTTTAAGTCACATAAAATCTGGGGGTTGAGGTTAGTTTAACCCAAAACCTCGTTGTACTTGAAGACGCAATCGTACAACCTTCCCCCAAGGAACTGTGCCACCTCTGGGTGCTTTACCTGCAAGTAGAAACTTTGAATTAATAAGAAACAAAAAAAACTCAAATCAATTATGAGAAGCCTTGTCATTGGATTTAATTTTGAAATATATTCATTAAATTTAAGCAATCCGGCTCTAGCTTTATCTTATAATATGTTGATAATCAAGCATGTTAAATTTTAGAAAATTTGAACAATAACCACATCATCCACTAACCCATATTAGTATCATCACAAATATTAACATTGTTGATGAGTGGATGATGTGATTATTGTTCTCCAAATGTCCTCAATTTCAACATACTTGATTATTAACGTAATATGGAGTATAAGATAAACTGTGGCCAGATTGCTTGAATCCACTGCAGATACAAAATTATAAGTTAGACTTACTCCCGGAGTAAGTGAAAACCTTCACGTGTGTGGGTGCGTGCATGTGTGTGTGGATCATATGAGCACCCTTCTTACAATAGAAACCATCAAGCTGGATTCTAAGTTAAAATATCTCTGCATTTTTTATTCATTTTTGTCATTGAGTGGTCGAGATCATAATTCAAGCCAATTACCATTCCAATCTTAAGAGAATCACATTTGAATTGAGCATATAAGTTAGTTTCTATTCCACGGCCCTGCAAAAGAAGCAGATGCATAAGTTGGAAGGTGAGGGTGATTCCGTGCAGGGTCTTCTTTCCTACAGTAAAAACAAAAGAATTACAGTGCAACCAACAATCACAGGATCACTAAGTCAGCTCACCATGCCCTCCAGAATGACAATGTCAGCATTACTCGCCAGATATGCAAGCTCCTGTGATATTCTGGTAAGATCTATAACCTGCCATAATAGGTACTTTATTGTCATTGTCTGGGCTAGGTTTGGTAGCCCAGTGATTTTTGTTTAGAAAAAAAATAGGGAATGACATGCTGTCACTAAATGATCGATGAAGTAGTTCAAGATCTGTATACCTTGTTATCTATGCATAATACTCCCTCCTTCCCAAAATAAGGTTCTCGTTCTTTATTGACAGGATTAAATAAAATAAAATTAAATGAAGGAGATTCCTTTCTCCCTGCAATATATCTTCTTTCTAAACACATTTTCATTGATCATTTGAAAAAACAAAATAGTCAAGTCAGATTTTGTTTGTAGAACTTTGATATAGTTTTTAAATACATAAATTTTATTTTTTTAATTCCATACCAACTTTCAAATCATTTAAAATGAAAATAACTTCAATCAAATATGGTAAACCAAAATGAGAACCTTATCTTGGAATGGGACGGATGTAGTTTTTTTTTAGTTTTAATCATCACGGGGGGTACTGGTGCTATTTGGCCTTATTAAGGGTAATACTTGGTATACACCTTGGTGTATGGCCAATTTCACAAACAAAGCTCGGCTATGTTGCTCTTTCACTTTAATCATTCAGCTTCTAATCTGGGTAACTGGATTGGATGAAACAATCCGAATGAATTCTATTGCTCATAGTCCCTATGGGATCGCATTTCAATACTTTTGCAATTATAACCGTTAGTTATCGCTGCACTTGCCCTAGACAGTTTCATTATAGCTCGTGAAGCACATATCAATATTTCTTCCAACAATAATGTAACTTTTTTTACATGTTTGTCAGTTTTGTAGAACAAACTACAACAACAACCCTGCGAAAGCTTCATAGAAAATCGAAATAAAATCTAATTCAACTATTCAAGTAATTTTTTCATAACATTAAATTTACTATAAACTGCTAAAATATTTTAATATTACTATATCTCTACAATATATATTACTGTAATAATTACTACCCGCTTCCTATTTTTGTCCCTTTTTACTTTTTTCTGTCCATCTCACTACAATCATATTAAATTTTTTAATGTACTTTTTTGCATCAATTTCAGTCACATAAATTAATTTTTCTAAAATTGTGTGCCACTACCCCCTAAACCCAAAAATAAAGGATGGTGTGGGCGGGAGTATTACTCCCTCTGTCCCCTAAAGAAGTCTTATTTAAATTTTAGTATGGGACAATTGTTGGAAATTATCAAATACGTCTATATTTTATAATTTATTTGTTGGCTTAACTAAACATAAGACAATCAACTAACTTGCTTGGGACATTTTTTTAGTAAAAAACATTAATTATGATGAGAAAATTGGACTGTTTATATGGGGCACAGGGTTTACAATACTGTAATTTTCTCTTTTTTTTGGTCCATGCCTTCAAACATTTTAGAATATGGGCAGGGACAGGCGATATTGGAGCAAGCCAAACCATTGGCTGCCCTGATTATAACGAAGGCCACAATGAATATGAGAGCACATGAACAGACAAAACTAATGTTTGTTCCTTACCGGCAAATCATTACCAGAATTTGCAATAAAAAGATTGGAAGTATCAACTCCTGCAAGCTTTTCATGCTCATCCTTCAGCTGTTAATACAATAAAGCGATGAGTGATGAGTATGTCAGATCGAACCTCAAGTATACAGCAATAAGGCTGTCAAAGAATAGCATTTCAACTACCTTAGAAATAATATCAATTAGCTCTGTGTGAGTTACATCGTTTATAGAAGGCAGGTCATTAGCTGCCAAAACAACCTGCTTCCAATAAAGCAAAAGGTTGAAATAAAATGTTAAGAAGTGCAAGTCTGCAAAAGCTATTCACATTGTTTAATTACACAATTACTGGAAATTTTCATATTCACAACCAATCAAATTTTAACAATTTGAAATCTAATTATTAACAACGAACTGAGGCCTCCTTTATATTCATCAAGGCTTGCAATTAAAATGTCAAAAACCTTCATTGTAAGAAAAACAACAATTATAAGCAAGCTGGAATCAGACGTTTTTTCAAGTAATGCAATTAAGACTGATAATATTGAATTAATGACAACAAGAACTGTAGAGTACCCATATGGCCCATGCTTGAAGTATATAAGTCAGGGTGAATAAATAAGCTCATATCTTCTAAGGAGACAACTTTTGAAGCCACATAGATTGAAAGTTCGGGCATTGAGGACAACTAATAATAAAAATAAAAAACAACAACAACAATAATACTAATAATAACTGTATTAGTCAAGCAGAAATTGCCCCTTTGTTTTTACAAGGGTGGGGGGAAGGCAGTGTCAAAGCCAGGTATTAGTTTTTGACTTTCCGTGGAAGCACCGGAGTAAAGCACATCAGTAGGCGGGTTTGGGGACAATGTCACTAGAATTTTTTCAAAGCAATATGAATTGACAAAAAAGGGTAAAAAATTTCATCTCAAACAAACATTCAAATAATTAAAATGAGAAAGTCTCAAAAAAAAAAGAATTTCACTTTCATATTCAATTCTTGTAATTTTAAATGTTTCATTTTAAGATTCTATTCTTGTAATTTCAAACTTTTCACTCTCAAATATCCAATAACGAAGTTGTCCATAACTATAATTCCTAATATAACAATAAAATCACATTGTTATAAATTATAATCCAACAGAACAAACAGAGAACGGAGCTAAACCAGGAGACGAAAGAATCAATAAAAGCACATGACCCCCTCTCCTCCTTTCTTGGAGAAAGGCTACATACATCTTGACTTCCAAAACCCTAATGGAGTTGGGACTATACTGGGTTTTGTAGTTTGTTGTGATGAATGATGAAACAACTAGTCAGGCAGAAAAACTGTGGTGTTATTTTATACATTTAGAAGCCATGAGACAGATAGATTTATAGTTTTACCTGTGTCCCACGGAGAAGTAACTCTCTTGCAAATGGTAAAACTCCCAAAATGATATCTGCACCTGAGTTATCAACAAAAATTACAGCCTGTACAAGAGGTAATCAGATCAGTGTGAAAAGGCACTGTGAAGTAAATGCTTATAGTTCAAAAGATTATAGGAAGTTCACCTTTTTCCAACATTTTTTGCTCCATTTCAATATAAATGCATCCAAATCATCAATAACCCATGGTCGAGGAACAAGATTTTGACAGCTGGCAAGAAAAGACATGCCATCATTGGAGAACACCTCTGCAAGCTTTCAAGATATATTGCCAAATATAGGCATTGTTAATGGAAAACTAAAATGGCTACCCTAAAAGCATCTTGGTCTTGCAAGAAATTAGATTCATGATAGTAAGCTTCATTAGAAGAATCTACAAACAAATTGCAATAGAAAGCATTTTCTGAAGTACTTATATGTGTGGTGAATCCATGTTAGCAAAGATGCAAGACACTCCGTTTTTATACTACTACACTCGGCTTTTATGAATGTTTGTGTCGTCTTTGATCTAGAAACAAACTTTGAAATTGAAATGTGTGTTCTCCCTAGTTCAGTGCAGTTCATTGACTTCTTTCAAACTTTTAAACAATGGCTATTAGCAAAGGGGTCTTCATTATAGTAGAGTGTTAATTCCAATTATTTATTGGACAAAATATAAATAACATTTCCATACAAATTATTACAATGTGCGGAGTATTTTACATATTCAACAACATAAATGTTATGCAGAAAGTGATGTTAGCCAATGAGTCAAAAATTGCTAAAGTGTGATTAGTACAGTCTATATCTAAGACATACCTGGGCAGAGCCAAGGTCAAATATGTTTCCTGCGAATATTCCTTTAACCAAATTCTCAACGCGCATAGCTTCATCCTCAATAGCATCATTGAGGCGAATTACATGCTCAAATAAGGAAATAGCTTTAGCATTTTCTTCATCCTGAAGAATTTCCAAACATGGCATAACGACACAAACAATTGAGTCTTTGAATTATTAATTGGTTTCATTCATCTATACTTATATACTACTCACTCCGGTCTAGAAAGACTTTCTGTTGCGGGTTATGATGCTTGACTAAAGTTAATTTCAATTCATTTTATATGTAAATTGGTGTAAAATTAAAGAATAAAATCATATATTTATAAACTTCAACAAAAGTTCTACAAAACCAGAGATGACAAGAATATATTATTTTATCAAATGAGGAATGAAAATAGGAAAAGAAAGTGGTCAAAGTTGAATAATGATGATGAAATTCTTTTAGGGACGGGGGGAGTATAGAGCTAACTATTAAGCTGATGAGCCACACAATGATTGGTCAACAATAATTTTCAAATTTATTTTATGTTTAAGAAATTAAATATTTTAACATTTAGATTTTTTTAGGGAGTAGTATTTTATATAAGGGTTAGGTCAATATTGGCAATCATGAGATAATCAAAAAAACTATTCTTCTCTTAAAAATAGGAACCTTATTTGGGGACAGAAAAAAAACATGCACCTCTTTGAGTAATGGAGAGTGGAATATTCATTATTGTGGAATTGTATTCAATGATTATAGGGTTGTACTATCTAGAGTGGATTGCATGATAATTTCCTTGAAACAATTTAGAATGTTTTTCATTAATAATTAATTGTAACATTGTGTTTAGAAAACAAAAACAAGCCGGACATCCAAGGCGATTCTCAAATGAGTTATACAAAGTAGTTATTCCCTCCCACACCTGCCCCAAGATATCAAGAATCAAGAGCACAATAAATGAGGAATTATGCTCACCTTAACCCTTTTAAATATATCTCTGAATCCCACTTCTCTTAGAACTTGTTCACGAAGTCGGCAAAGAAGCTAAAATGTATTTTAGTCGGCAAAGAAACTCAAATTCATAACTAGCACAGTAGCACCATAAGCCTTATTGATAAAATAAGGAATGAAAGAGTTAAAAGGCAACTCGGTTGCATGTACTTACAATGCAGTCAGGTGGTCCACCGTGGCTCTCAGGATCTTTCTTCAAATCCTCAAGTATTCCAGCATACCTTAGAAGAAAAACACGAGAACTGTTTGAAATTATACATGGCATTGGATGTATGAGAATTTGAGAATGTTTCTCAGTTCACCTTGGAGAACCATTTCTTAATCACTACTTGAAGGACTTAAGCAAATCAAAGATCAGGAGAAAAGCGGACGAGTCTTGTTTTTAAAGATTTAAGCAGCTAGAGTTATGGTCTATTGAGTGGAAATTTCCCATTTTTTTTCCAGTATGTGAAACTTGCAGCTCATCAATTAGGCATTTAGATAATCTAAACATAATGGTCGCGTAGGAACAGACCTTTGAGCAAATTTATCAGCTCTCAGTGGAGCATCCGTGACGGAATCGTCACTCTCGGCACGCTTTCTGCAATTATGAACGATTAGGAGCAAGAAAATAGCAATACTGATGAACTATGATTAGTTTTTAAGTAGAAAAATGAAGGGTGCGAAGATGCCGAGGAAGTCCAGGAGAAATACATTTGTTTCAGGAATAGAGATTAAAAAAAAAAGAAAGAAACAAAAAGGGAAAGATGAGGAGTTACCGGAAAGAAGGGATGGAGTTGAGGAAGAGGTTAATCCAGGCGATCTCAGTGGGCGTAGCCTTCTTTGGATTATCGGAAGGGAACCTGTAAGGTATGGTGCATGCCCTGTAATTCGTCTCGATCGGAGTTGGCAGCTGCGGGAACTCTACAAGTTCGCATGCGCTCTCCATTTTCGATCAATCGATCGATCTTCTCCCTCCCAATCTTTCCCAGTTTTTGTGGAGGGCCGTCCCAATTAATTCCCTTTTTCGAACTTTTGGTACTCAAGTAAAATATTCTGGATACAAATACTCAAAATTATACTCCCTAATAACATATGGAGTAAAAAATATTAAGATTTTGTTTGGTATACGAAATTCAAATTAAGAAATTAAAATTAGAGATATTAATTTTAATTTATTGTTTGATAGCATAAAAAATGTGAACTTGGATTTGATAGCGCCAAAAATGAATTGGAATTGAGAAATTCAATCCCATTCAAATTAATTCCATAAAATTTTAATTCTCAATTCAATTCCAATTCTGTCAATTCCGTGTACCAAACGGATCCTAAAATGTGATGAACTTATTTTATTTTATGGAATAATAAAGAAAAGGAAAATGCTAGATGTACACCAAAATTGTACCCCAAACACCCCCCACCCCCTCCATCACCACAAAAAAAAGCAAAAAAATTTCAAAAAAAAATAAAACATAAAAATAAAATAAAGTGAATGGTAGAAAGGGGAGTGGTGTACATTTGGGGTACACATTTGGTGTACCCCTAACATATCCCTAAAGAAAAGTATGTAAGTTTTTAAATTGTTTTTCACATACTTTAATCATAAAAGTTTCTTATGTTTTTGATTTTTTAGGCAAACAGTGATATTATTTGAGTATAAATTAAAAACAAAATATCCTTAATTATTATATAAATTCAAAATATATTTTTGATATATCACGTTTTATACCATTTATTTATTTATTTAGATTTTATTTAATTTATAATTAAAAAAATATCACTATTTGATTAAAAAAATCAAAATAAGAAAAGTTTTTAGTATGAGTGGAGTATTTATTTAAAAGAGAAATGCCAGAATGTCATTGCAGCCACTACACTACACCGCCATCGCAGTTATAGGTTGCCGTCGCCGTGAAGTTACCCGAGTGACTGGCGATCCATCACGGCACTACCACCACACCACAATGTCATTCGTCAAACTTTCACATTACCATTACACTCTTATTAACATTATTTGATAATTTAATGGGAGAATGTTCGTCTTTCACAAATCACCACATTGTTAAGGGGCAAGGCAACTCAACGAAGCAAAGCTCTACAGAGAGCAGCAGCAGCAGAGCAGAGCAGAGAAGGAAGGAGATGAAATGAACGGAGGAAGGGGCCTTCAATTCTGAAGAGAGATCCAATTGATGTCGGGTGGAGGTGCTGGCGGCGGCGGCGTTCCTCCCCAAACACTGGGCGGCCATTCTCGGTGCGGGTGGGTTCTGGGCCCCTCCTTGGACAAGATCATCAAGAACGTTTCCTGGAGGAAGCACTCTCAGCTGGTCACCGCCTGCAAATCCGCCCTCGACAAGCTCGATTCTCTGGTCGACGACCCCCTCGATCCCGCTTCCTGCTCCCCTCTCTACGGCATCTCCTCCCCCGATGATGCTGATTTCGTCCTGCACCCCATCATCCTCGCCCTCGACTCTGCCTCCCCTAAGGTTGTGGAGCCAGCTCTCGACTGCGCCTTCCGCTTGTTCTCTTTCGGCATTATCCGCTGCGAGATCGAGGTTGGAACGCCGCCTCCCCTCATCTTCCGCATCATCGATTCCGTCTGCAAGTGCGGCGGCTCTCTCGATGAGGAGGCCGTCGAGCTTGGCCTTCTTCGCGTCCTCCTCTCTGCTGTCCGATCCCCCTACGTCATTATTAGGGGCGATTGCCTTGTCCACATTGTCAGGTCCTGTTATAATGTCTACCTGGGTGGCTTGAACGGCACCAATCAGATCTGCGCCAAGTCTGTCCTAGCTCAAATGATGGTCCTCGTTTTCACTAGGGTCGAGGAGGACTCCATGGCCATCCTCTCCAAGACTGTTTCTGTAGCTGATCTCTTGGAGTTCACCGACAGAAATTTGAACGAGGGCAGTTCTATTCAGTTTGCTCAAGATTTTATCAACGAGATCATGGACACCAAAGCCAAGGAAGTACTTCCTGATTCCAAGCTCTCCCTGTTATTGGAGAATGGTGACATTAAAAAAAGCAAAGGTGATATGGTAGATGATGAGTCAAGGGAAGGGGCTGGTCTTGACCTCTACAGCAAGATCCGCGAGGATGGGTTCATGCTTTTCAAGAATTTATGCAAATTGTCCATGAAATTTTCGTCACCAGAGCACACTGACGATCAGATTCTGCTAAGAGGGAAAATACTTTCATTAGAGCTCCTCAAGGTTGTCATGGATAATGCAGGCCCAATTTGGCTCTCCGATGAGAGGCTAGTATTGAATTAAGCCATACAGATTGCACCACATCCTCATTTGTCTTGATCATGTTTACTCGCTTTAGTTTGAATGATAAAAACTTATTTATTCTAGAATTCTAGCTAAATTTAATAGCATAAAGAACAATCTCTTTAGCTAATTGGAAATTTGATTACATTTTGTGCAAATGCATTCTTGTTATCTCATATACACAAGGAAAAATGCGGCAGCCACTATACTACCAGAGATTTGCACACATGTCTATTCATTGTGATACCAGGACATGAGCTTGACAAAATGCCGGTGTAGGTTCTGTAGACATGTACTCGATTTAAATAATTACGGTTTAGGGGATGCTTGAAAAAACAAGTGTAGGAAGGTACTACTTAGCTAAATGGATGTCGCATTTACTATTCTGTTGTCAAATTGCATCTTCTTTGTTTCTCTATAAAATTTATTTTTATTAGTTACTCCGTAATAAATAGTCAAGTCATCTCATTTAAATTTTTAAACATTAAGTTAAAATAACTTCAACAAACCCTCATTATATGAACCAGACAACCAGACAATCATTCGGGACGGAAGGACTATTTGTAATCCAAGCTATCTTTGGGAGTTATAAGTTAGTATATCCCTATGCTGTTTCATTTTTCATTTTTAATTTTTAGAGTAATCATACCTCAAACTCACAAAGTAATACTAATTACATAGTAGAAGATGCTGTCTTCTTGGAGATCTTACATGTTTTCTCTTCACACAGGTTTTTAAATGCTATCAAGCAGTTTCTTTGCTTATCGTTGTTGAAGAACAGTGCACTGTCTGTTATGACTATTTTTCAGCTCCTTTGTTCAATATTCGAGAATCTATTATCAAAATATAGGCCCGGATTAAAATCTGAAATTGGAATCTTCTTTCCTATGTTGATCCTACGTGTGCTAGAGAATGTGCTCCAGCCTAGTTTCCTCCAGAAGATGACAGTTCTGAGCTTACTGGATAAGATTTCTCAAGATCCTAAGATTATAGTTGACATTTTTGTCAACTATGATTGTGATGTGGATGCTCCAAACATATTTGAAAGGTAACCATAAGGCCGTTATGCTTATATTTCTAATGATCATAGTTTCATCTAGGCATTATGCACCAGTGTTTCAATTTATTGTTTTTTACTATCCTTTTTGTATTTTCAATCCCTGGGATTAACTGTCCCACCTTCCAAGTTTCTTCCGCTCTTTGAGTTAGCCCATTCTCAAATGTTCCGAATATGGATGGACCCACCATACATTTGATTGGGTGTGTAATGGATGCAAATAAAGAATAGTGAGGGGTTTTATGTTGAGTTCTCTCAAGTTCCTTTATGTAATGTTTGGGAACTAGAATTTGAAATTTGAAGTTGGCAAAGACGGAGACAGAAGCAGGTTGATATGTATGGAATTGTTGTTGCATAAGGATTAGTTGTAAGTTGTAACCTAAAGAAAAGTTAGGCTTGGATTTATAAACGAAGGGGGGGTGTGGATTTGTAATTGAGTTTGTTTTGAATTAGAAGAATTTTGTCCAAATCCAAAGCCAAAATCTTTGAATTCCCAAACGAGGTAATTTGTATCAAATCCTGGTTCAAAATCCAAATTTAAGTAGCCAAACATATCATTAATAAATTCGAGCTTATGATCCCAGACCAAACTTCTTGTCAAATAGCAACACAAAGCAAGGAACTAAGAATGCAAGTTATGGCATAGTTCGTAAAATTTTCAAGGTAGTGAAATCTGCCATATTTAGTTGACTCCCAAGAATACCTCATTTGTTGCATGTTCTTGATCTTTCCGATTTAGAGATATGCTTCCACCTTCCGCGAATTGCAATTCTGACTCGTGTACTTATCATCACTCCTTTGTGCAACAACAAGCTTTTCTGCAAGATCGACAAAAGGAACGCGGCATACTTTAAGAAAGTATTTCCAGTCTTAAAAATCATGTTGAAAATACAGATGATTAATAATGTCTCCTTGTTGTTTTTTAATATTTCCCCCCATTTTAGATTTTTTTGGCAATAATTCAGCGAGTTCTACAATTTCAGCATTTTTTGCCAAAATGACTCTCATCAATGATCAAACATGCTTATATATCTCCTTGCTTGAGTTTGTATTACGTTACTAATCATAAATACGCATGTTTGTGTATGCATGCAATGCAGAACTGTCAATGGCCTCCACAAAACGGCATTGGGCCCACCTCCTGGCTCGGCTACCACTCTATCTCCAGCCCAAGATTTGACATTTCGGCTTGAATCAGTGAAGTGCTTAGTCAGAATTATAAACTCCATGGGTACATGGATGGATTCCCAACTAAAATTAGGGGAATCTAATCCAGCGAAGTTCTCTGGTAATGACAGCATGATTGAAAATACTGCTGCACCCAATGAAGATGGTAACCTGCCCGAGTATGATCTACATTTAGAGGAGAGTTCTGAATTCTCTAATGCTGTTACCTTGGAGCAAAGGCGTGCTTATAAACTGGAAATACAGGTCTATCAACAGTAGTCTTAAAAATCTGAGTGGCTCTGTATCATTTTTATGTTTTCTTAAAAATCCTAAAGTACTTGTATAGGATTTTGTTTTGTTAAGAGAGAAGCTAAAAATGTTGGCATCTTTGCTTTCATTTTTAATGTAACAGTTAGTATAGTAATGTTAAAATGCTACTGGTCATGATGCTACCGGATCAAACAAGGGTCAAGTGTGGGCTGCCATTGGATGTGGTTGGGACGGGTTGTGGTGAGATTGTGTAGGAGTATGTTTTTTTTATGTGTACAGGTTCCAAAAACAAAAATGTTAATTTTTTTGCATGTTGCATATTCTTTTTTTCAGCACTTTTTATTGGAGAACTGCTCAAGTTTCTTTTTCATTTTATGAAATAGGAAGCTATTTGAAATCCAAATGTTTTCTTGTACACAAACTAGTGCAAGAGATAAGTACTTGTGGCATTAACTATCAAGCGGCAGGGGTAGTGGGGGCTGGGAGTTAGTTGTGCTGAATGTACAGACTAATTGTTACCAAACAACCAAAACTTTTAATATTATACACACATATATCTGTGTGTGTTTGTGTGTTTGTGCTTCTTTAATTGCTCATTGTCTCATATAGTTATCTCATTCTCTTGCAAATTGTGGTTGTAGAAAGGCGTATCTCTGTTCAACAGAAAGCCTTCAAAAGGGATTGAATTCCTAATGAATACAAGAAAGATTGGTAATTCCCCTGAAGAAGTAGTTTCTTTCCTGAAGAACACTTCTGGACTAAATGCCACCATGATTGGTGATTATTTGGGTGAGAGGGATGAATTTGCCTTGAAGGTTATGCACGCATATGTTGATTCATTTAACTTTGAACAAATGAACTTTGGAGAAGCAATCAGATATTTCCTACGAGGTTTCAGATTGCCTGGTGAAGCCCAGAAAATAGACCGTATAATGGAAAAATTTGCTGAGCGCTACTGTAAATGCAATCCAAATTCTTTCACAAGCGCTGAAACTGCGTATGTCCTTGCTTACTCAGTGATAATGCTTAACACTGATGCACACAATAGCATGGTGAAGGATAAGGTGAGCTTGTTGAAAATCTTGTTCATTTCCTCATAACTTGATAATGCAATTTTATGGATTAATCCATTTTCTTGGTTGAGAAACACGTAGTTTTAACACATTTTTTAACTCATTCTCATTCTGGAGCATTTAAACCATATGCTCCGAGTTTATTCCAAAACTTGTATTGGAACATATACTAGAAACTTTATTTTTACATAAATTTGATGGACTTCAGTTTACTTTTATAGTTCTGTTGGATTCTACTGAGCTATACTATATTTTATTGTATACTTGTATTGAGCTTTACATTTATTATACTCGATGGAGCTTTACTTGAATTGACTAACACTCTGCTGAGTAGCTTAACTTTAGTGAGCTCTACCTTACAGAACTCTACCGAGCTGTGTTTTTTATTGATTTTTTTGAGCTCTGCTTTACTTTGCTAAACTCTACTCTATCTTATTGAATCCTACTGATTGCTGATTTCCTTTATTGACCTCTGCTGAGCCGTGTTATGCTTTATTGAGCTCTATTAAGCTTTTCATTACTGTATTGAACTCTAGTGAGCACTGTTTTGCTTTACTGGATCTTGCCTTCTTAGTTTGTAAAAGAGAAGTACTGGTCTTGATTCATCAAAACATAGGCTGGAGATGCTTTGAATAATGTGGTCTGTGGACGTCTATAGTTCACAACCAGGAGAGAGATGGAAAACACCATTAGGATTCCAGCTATATTGAACTCTAATGAGCTATAATGAGGCTTACAAACAGAAAAGCTACATTTAGACAATATATTCCTCAGGTTAGGGCATGCAAGGTCTGATTGTCTGGATAGAGGTTTTCTGGAAAGACGGAGCGATGGGGGTGTCAGGTGGTGGTGATTTTTTTACTGAGGTAATTTTGTGGCCTTTTGAAAGGCCTGGTATGGTTGATTTGTCAAAACATAGGTTGGGGATGCTTTGAATAATGTGGATGTCTACTGTTCATAACAAGGAGAGAGATAGAAAACACCATTAGGGTTCACATGGAATATTTTAACCAGGGATTCTGGTTTCATGTCAAAATTACAAAACTACATTTTTATTGGTGTAGAGAAATAATAAGGCTAACATGCTAAACCCAATACGAATGAAACCCCAATGTTTTTAAAACTAGGGCTCTACTTACACATTACAACACATAAGTCTTTAGCAATTGCCCCGAATGAGTCAATAAATGGATCAATTTAGATCATGGTGATGTTTCAAAAGAAAACCTTCATCATTTGTTGATTCATATTCTTAATTTAAGTTGTATTTACATAATATCTAAGAGACCTAGAATCAAATACATACTCCCTCTGCCCTAATTGGATCTCTCACTTACCTTATTTACAACAACAACAATGCAGTAGAATCCCATAAAAGTAGAGAGGTTGTTTCCAAGAGCCCCCCCCCCAGCTCGAGCAATATAGAAATCACAGAGCACAAATAATAATAATAATAATAATAATAATAATAATAATAATAATAATAATAATAATAAAAGGAGCAAATTAAGGGCAAGAAGAATGCAAGGAGACAAAAGTTACACAAGCAGTCGTAGCAAAAAGACCCCAAACTTAGAAAACATCCAACTATCACCCCGTACCAAACGACTAGTCGACTGCCCAACTACTCTAATCCTATATCTCCACATGCTCCTATCTAAGGGCATATTCTCATTAAGGGTTAGGAGTCTTAAGTCCAGTCTAATCACCTCCTTCCAATTATTCCTAGGCCTACCATTCCGGCCTTTCCCCACCCCAGCCACTATCGCAAGCCTATCACATCTTTGCATCGGTGCCTCCACGCTACGTTGCATCACTGACCAAACCATCTCAGCCTAGCCCCTTGTAGTGGATCCTCCACGGGTGTCACTCTCACTTGTCCCTGCCTCCCCGAATAACCTCATTCTCAATCTTATCCACCTCATTTGTTCACTCATCCATTGCAACATTTGCATCTCTATCACATGTATGACTAACGTGGAC